TATATATATATATATATATATATATATATATATATATATATATATATATATATATATATATATATATTAAAATACTATTTTTGTTTCTTATGAAAATTTTTGTTGCTCCATGTAAAGCAAATTCTTAATCAAGAACTCCCCTCACTCCATGTCATTGGTATCCCACTTTATCGATGCTACAATCTGGCAACCTTAGTTTAAAGATGCTATTTCCTAGAATTTATTTACAGAGAAAATCGTTTAACTCGCAACTGAGGGGACTGAAATATTTTTTTGTATTAAAAGAATTTCATGTTAAAGGATAATGAAAAAAAAACATACTTCAACAAATTTAGGATTGTTAGAGTACATTTTATTTACATCTATATGTTTATTTAATACAAATCAATAAAACAAAATATTTAGACGAACTTTAATATAAAATTTTTACAAAACAAATGATTTATTGAATTTTTGGAACATAATCTGATAATTTTTTTAGACTTCTTTTTAGCACCAAATTATCAACAGATTGTTCGGTGCTGTCCATGTTGTCGTTAATCTTAACATTGGAATGCGCGTCTAAATAACAGCGCATACTTTTCATGATGTTCCTCATTTCGGATGATGTTTGAAAAGAAGTTGCTTTATTCCTTTAATTTTCGTCTTTGGAATTTGCATTAATAATGTTTTTAAGATTTGTACACACTCCAAAATGTCTTTGTCTGCCATACTTGGGGCGCATGCACATCATCATCATCATCTACTGCAACGAATTCTTCCGATGACGCAGTAGGAATTTCTGGTGTTTTCCCTATTTTGTTCATTCCCAAAAGGAAAATATTTTTTTGTTAATGGAAAATAATGCATGCATGAAAATACGTAGTAGTTTTTCGGGGTGGTTGTATTATTTCGTGTGAACTGATATTTTTCGTCTAAGCGTTTTCGCGTTGAACGTATTTTACTTTTTTTTTTCAATTCTTCCTAATATAAGTTCACTCTCTTCCTATATATATAGTTCAAATTTTCAGCCGTTAATAAAATACTTTCTATTCATCCATTCAAGTTCAAATGCATTTTTTTAAACTTGTAGTGAATGACACTTGATGTTAGTACAGTTTTTTCTAATATTAATTCATTAATTAAATTAAAAAAAGAACAAATAGTAACAAAGAAAAATAATAGTTCAACAGCATATATAGAAAGTAAAATCGTTCGTTGTGTCTTTGCAGCGCATTGGATAGCGTGTTGGACTTCTAATCCAATGCTCGTGGGTTAGAATCCCACCTGAGATGGCCTAATTTCTGAGAACGAGATTTCTTTTTACTATACTATTTTATTGGAATAATTTATTTTAATGAATAAATAAACAGTAAAAAACAAAAAAAATATAGACCAACACCATGTATAGAAAGGAAAATGAATTATTGCAAGGAAAACCCCTTTGTATTTTGCCACTTGATATTGTGATTCTGTCATATGTATATACATACTTATATTAATTGTAACTATTTAAAAAAAAGTAACTAAAATTAAAGTTTTCTTTGTTAACCTCAGTAGGAGTTGACTTTAAGATTTTTTTTTATATTACTCATTAAAAGTCAAATAAAAAGGAATTTCACCAACGTTTCCAAATTTATCCATCGTTTGGATAAATTAAGAATAGTCAATTTGAATTATGATCAAATAAACAAAAGCATTTACAAATGATGATCATGGTAAATAACAATTAAAAATAAAATTAAGGAGTTACGGTATGGTGAGATAGAATACTTCAAATAATAAAATAAATTTAAAAAAAAACAAAATTTTATTAGTAACACTATTAAAACATTATTCATTTTCTTAATTAGGAATGCATTAATTGCAACCCGACCTCATTAGTTTAGTCGTTAGTTCGCAATTTTTTATTCCTTATTTAATCAACCGTTCATTACTTAAAATTATTAAAAATGACTTGTTTTGAATTCCGCAAATAATTAACTAAAATTTTGTCCGTAAGTGAATTGTATCTCTGATTAAAAAACAACATATTAAATTGTGCTTCATTAAAAATATTCCTTATGTGTTTAATGAGTATTTCGTTCACCGAATTCAATAGAAATGGGAACACTTTCATTAAAATCAAATTTCAGAAGAAATATTTTCACCAACTTGCAAAGATTAATTTTTAAAAAATTCTGCAAAATGTCTTTAACTTTTGTTTTCACTGGTTTCATATATGTACAGATTATTATTAAATTTTACTTGTTTTCCGTTAAATACTTTCAATTATTCATTTGTAAAATGGAATTCAAATTATTTGTATTTTGTTTTCGAAAGGGCAATTTCTTTCAAAATTAACCAATAAACAAGAGTTACAAGATCAGCTAATGAATGTACGATATTTGTTCAAACACAAATAAAAGAATCTTTTCTCTCTTAACTTTGCGAGATGAAGTATTCAGGACAAAGTGTTTATCTTATGATACAATGCTATAAAACGCAATTAAATCGTGTTATTTGCTGTCTTTTAAAGCTGACCTTTTGTAAATATTTATGAGATTTATCAGATGATGTTTAATTCTAGATGCGATGTTTATTTTTAAAATCATCGAATCAGTTAAATACATTTTGTTTTCTTTTAATAATAAATGTTCTTGTTTTCATACATATCTTAATGAATTCTTCATCGGTTGTATTTCGATGTTTAATCTTATTAAAAGGTTAAATAACAGGATTATATATTTTTGATAAAAATTCTTCTCCAGAGACAAAATAGAATAATACATGATGATAATTTGTATTTCATTATTTGTAATCTCCTATATATAAGTATATTGTGTTACAAGTTATTTATATTTTAATTAGACTGTTTGTTACCCCATTTCCCATTAATAATTAATAATATACTGATATTTAGTATCTATAATTTATTCAATGATGCAAACTATTTTATATACCATTTAATATACTATTTTATTGCATAATTTTAATTGCAAATTCGATTATTTAGTTTTGTTGGCGCATTTCTGATGGCCAAGTGCGATTGCCCGGTCGACAAGGAAAACAATACTATGCAGCAAAAGTGAACTACAAAGCTGGTTTTACTGTGCAGTAAAAGTTTGAGTGAAAAAATGTTATAAAATAAGACTGAAATTAGGTAAATAATATATATAAAAATATATCAAAATTCTAATATTAAATTCTTAAAATGTCATCGAAATTCAGAAAGTTGACAATACTTCGTACTTATTTGATATTGGTATGCTTCTTGCAAAATTACTTTCAACTTTCACCAAGTTAGGCGATAATATTGCAATATGGTTACCTTTATTTTTATCGTTTGATAATGAGTTTGCTATAGTGTTCAGGTATATGATTGTTATTTCCTTAAGGTTTATTTTCTTTGTGGTAACCCTATTCATTTCAAACACAATTCGATAGTTTAAAAACATTTAACCATTTCTATGTTAGGCTGCTGTTGCACTATTCATGTTCTATTTTTTGCGAATTTTTTCTGTTGGATATAACGGATACCTTCGAAAATATTGGTGAGTACCATGTTCACTTATTAAAAATAAATACGAGTTTTCCGCATTTAATTATTACAGACTAATAGAATTACCAAATTCGCACTTTTGATCAGTTTTATTTTCAAAGGATTCGGTTTTCTTTTTTATGCAGTCATTGGTTAGATTTCGCTGATTTATGTCTTTATGAAATTTGATGTTTGCGTTTGAGATCTAACAATTGTTTCTCAAAAAAGTAATAAATTTGACTGCCTAAATTTTAAAGTGCTCTTCAATAATAATAAACCTTTCAGGAGAATTGTATTTTTAATAGAAGGAAATTGCTCAAGCACCGATATTTTACATTTAATAAATGATTTCGAAGTTTTTTACACATTTCCAAATAATTCATAAATTTTTTTGTTTCTAGTATATGATTATTTAGGTTTGAAATATTAAATAAAAAATACTATATAATCATTTTTTGCATTTTCTTTTCTTTCGCCATTAAGAAATTCTAAATATTCTTTTTTCCCCACGTAATCATACTTTACATTGCCATTTTACATAGACAGTGTCAGTACATTTCTTATTTCTGTTTTCTATCTTTTTATAACCTTTTATAATTCTACTGTCTTCTACTGCATCAAGGTTTAGTCATTTTTTGAAATTCTTTACAACCCGTTTTCTCTAGCGCTTGGTGGCCATCTTAGATGAAATACTACTTTTCTTGAAAGGTATATTTGGTGCGTATAGATAACAAATTGCATCCCAATTTCTTTTTATTTGAAAAAGTGTACTTGCATTTCTATATCTAAATAAGAATTTTCTTATAATTTCAATATATCGTTTCTTGATTGTTAAGTTACTTAATAATGCATATAGTATGTAACTTTAAGACGTATAAATTACTAAGTAAACCAGATATAAAAGTATCTCTGGAAGTTTATGAAATTGTTGAGAAAATTTAATTTTGATTACTAAATAGGGTATAAATTCTTTTTGTCAAATTCTTCCTTATACATTTTTCCATTTACACTATTTATTAGATAATTGATGCAATTCTTGTTTTGCCATAATTTAGTTAATGTCTATTGATAGCTTATATAAAGAATAAGAAATCGAATTTTGTTTAAAAATATTAAAAACATTTGAGTTTTTGTTTGAGAAATTTTTTTAAAAACATTGAGTTGAGAAATTGAATTTATGTTTTGTGTAGAGTGTTTTTATTATGAAATATTTGTTACATTTTCAACCATAGTTTGTGATAACTTATTTTTAATTAAAAGAACTAGCGATGTTCTTATTTTTATTTTTAAACCAAATGAAATTTAGATTATTATTTAGATTATTTAGAAATTTGGATTATTATGCAGAAAAAAGCAAAAATTCTGACTTTTGTACCTGAAAACAAATTAGAATTTTACCAATCTTTTTGCTATTCCAAAATATCGGACATAAAAGTTTTTTAAGAAACGTGTGAATCACTTGTAATTGTTGTACAGATATTATATATTTATTTAATAATATATTATATTTACCACTCATTACATGCTTGTTTGGATGGTTCCTTATGTTTTTAATATCCTGTGTGTGTGAGAGTGTGTGTGAAGGAAATTTTTGAAAGGAAATTAACTGTCTTGTTATTGTTTCCTCACAATGTTAATAAAAATTTGGTGTAAAATTTGAAAAAAAAGGAGATCTGAAAACGATTGAGTTCATTAATATGACTTATTAGGCTACTTTAATCTAAAATGTTGTTTATAGGTAAAATGCTGTGTTTCTCGATGAAAACTTTTAATTCGTCTACTATTATAAATATACTATTGCCCTCAGATAAAGTTATAAGTATGTCTAACGTTCTTTTTCAAAATGTAATAGATTTTAAAAGGGAATTTAATTTGGGCTTTTTAAAAGCCGTTCCTTGACTAGGATAAACAAAAAAGTGCAAATAAAATCGAACACTCAAACTAATTTTCATCAACAGTTGTACTCCGATTTAACGAATTCATCGGGATCGAACATTTTGTTCTTTAAATTGGGGTCCAAACAAAATACAAATTTTTCTCTCTTACTTTTTGGAAATTCTATAGTAAGCAACTACACACAAATATCCATATCTAGGAATCACAAACTTTTTTTTCAACAGTTAAAAATCCCTTTCAGGTCCATGATCACATGTATGAGATCACGCGTTTCTCCCTCCATGGCCCGCGGTATCATATATGTGATTGCCCTGCTTTGAGGCCCATGATCACACCGGTGTGATCTGACTTACGAACGTTTTTATATTAACTTTTACTTGGCACTAGATGGAAGTTCAAGTCTTTTTTTTTCGTATAATGTTTCACTAAACTTTGAACTTCAATATGTGCTTTCGGTTCCAAGTTTCTTAAAATTAGATCCGGGATATTTATGAATGTAAACAGTAGCACATGTTTAGATTTTTCGAGAGAATCGGGCATTTAAAGTTTCATGATTTATTGTACTCTGAATTTCTTTTTATATTCTAAGTTGGAAAGCTTATTGGGCCTCACCCATTCATAATAATAGTTTCAGTACTTATTTATTGTTCGTATTTAAAACAACAATTTTAATGCTCAAATACATTTACAAAGCAGACCTTCATAGGACAAACCCGATGACTCATTTTTAACGTAAAAGAATCGTTTGTTCTTATTAATTCATTTTTAATTCAGTAGAAGCAAACGATTCTTCCTCGTTGCTATTGCAACCTGGGTTGCCATAACCATAAGAACAGAAATTATAACACTAATGTGATACTAGAGAGCTATAAGAAAGAT